AAACTCAACTAAGAGCAAATGTTCATCCTAAGCACCTTTCAAATCTAAAACACAAGCTCTCAACATGTCTATGAACAACTCCCGATATTTCTTTTTCATTCCCTCATCCAACTTTTACGTTGTTTCCCTTCTCATTATGAATACCTTACTATAACTTCACAACAATTATGCCATGCCTTCTTTATAATTTCCTCTTCAATCATCCTCCTAAAGTAAAAGCAGTCTCATGGTTTCCTAGTTTTTCATGAATGAGTCATCAATCAATCATAAGACCTTATGGGTGCCAAAAATTAATCTTTGCATAACAACTTAAATTAATGCCACTCCAATTCATGATCACAATTTCTAAACTTTGCTAAGTCATAAATCAACCAAAATCATTTACCACTATTCAAAGAAATAATTCATCATAATTTTAAACCTCAAACCTCAATTTCACTAAACCTTCTTCGTTAATTCCTTAATATCACAAGATAATTTAAGTGATCAATACAATAATCCTTCCTATTTCCTTATCATATTACTCTACTAGTCTATCTATTGACATACCAATATTGATGTGAAGAAAATCAACAGACTTAATCAACCTATTAATGATAACCAAATTCATCATCCTTGAATGAATTATCACCATAATTCTCAATAAGCACCATTTTAAATCATGTCTCCAACTAATTTCCTTCTTTGAGCAAATCGTTATTCTACATATGTAGTTCTAACATTCTTTATTGACTGAGCTACACTTACAAGCAGTTAAGAATTAACCCAACACACTCATAATCTAACTTTTACATTTATCTAATCCCCTCAAAATAACTTTTAATAATCAAATATGGTAAACTATACAAGAACTTCCTAGTTAAAGAATCTGTAACCTTGTTAGCCTTACTAAAATAACAAGTAATGATCATATGATAATCCTTCAAAACTCTAAGCACTATTTTTGTGTCACATATTCACGTCTATCTAACAAGATAGACTTACTCTTAAAATTAGTAAAAATTTTCCAAATCTTCCACTGTACATGTAATTCCTCAATATTAAAAAACAAAAAACAAAAAAAAACAAAACAAAACCATCATTTTGCTCTAACTCCGAATCATGTGTGATATATATATATGGACCCTGATTGGTGCACACCCAGATCCAACACCCGGGTGTGCACCCCCCACATAAAAAAAAAAAAAAGGACCGGGTGTTGGATCATTTTTTTTTATATGATGTGTGCACACCCAGGTGTTCGATCCGGGTGTGCACACATTATTTTCCTATATATATATATAT